GAGAGCGAAAGTTTTATGAACATGAATAATGGCTAGTCTCCCACGGACAGCCTAGTAAGTCGGCATGTTGGAAGAAAGGAGAAGACAGAGAAAAAAGTCGGCGGAGTTTAGTTTTGAGGAGAGAATTATTAAGAGTATGCAAGAGATGGATGCTAAACATGAAATGAGCAGAGAAAAAATGGAGCGATTGATGATAATGAAACTTGAAAAAAAAATTAGAATTACGAGATAGAGAAGTAGAACAACGTGACCAACAATTAGCTATTCAGCGTGAAAGCGAGGATAGACAAATTATGCTGATTGATTTATAAATAAGATTGCCTTATAAATAAGATTGCCGATTAAAGTGAACGTGCTTACTATTAACAAAAAAAAAAGAAATTATTAATAGAAAGGAATATAGAGCTCCATCATTCGACTATGGATTTTCCTCCAGAGGGCCAAGAGGATAGACATTCTTTCATTCAACATAATTTGTCCATCATCTTGGCCTTTTGGAGGAAAATCCATAGTCAAATGGAGCTCTATATTCCTTTCTACTAATGATTTCTTTTTTTTTTTGATGGTAAACACGTTCACTTTGATCGATGATTTTACTTAGATCAATTAACATAATTTGTCTATCCTCGCTTTCACGCTGAAGAGCTAATTGTTGGTCACGTTGTTCTACTTCTCTAGCTTGCAATTCTAATTTTATTTTTTCATTTTCAAGTTTCATTATCACTAATCGCTCCATTTTTTCCTTGTTCATTTCACGTTTAGCATCCATCTCTTGTATACTCTTAATAATTCCCTCCTCAGAACTAAAATCTGCCGACTTTTTTCTCTTTGCCTTTTCCTTCTTTCTTCCAACAGACCGACTTGCTGGGCTGTCCATGGGAGACTGGCCATTACTTATGTTCATAAAACTTTTGCTCTCCGTGTTGAGATCCATAACGTCCTCTGTTGCATTAGGCCGACTTTGCGTGTTCGACTCTGATTCTTCAGAGATGCTCCCAGGCCCCAGCTGCATGATTGGATTTAGGATCAACCCATTTCTCGGCATCCTTGAGGATAATCCAAACATGATCGAACTGAAATCATTTCCTTTCTTTAACATCTTTTCTGTACATGATTCTTGCTTGAGTTGACTAACATTACAAAAAAAAGACAGTTGAAAATGATATTATAAAATCCATAGTAAAATTATATACTTACTATATTGAGTTCAGAAGCCCCGCTTGGATTCAGTCGCTCGATTTGTCGAACAGAACCCCGAAATTTGTTTGCTACCTTTTTAATTGTGTCCATACGACATTCCAAGGACCTTGGTGTCCGTTGTCTATCACATACCTTTCTATGGAATACTGTTGTGATCCATTTCCACATCGTATCTTTCTTTTGATATGTGCTTGAGACCGTGTCTTGAGAAATTTCAAGCCATGCCAAGCACATGAACTGATCTTCTTGGTTAGTGAATGATTTTTCTCGTACAGGTGTCATAGTGGATGAAGAAAGATTAGTGGACAAAAGTAGTTGTCTAAATAAATCAGAAAGAAATGATGGAAGTGTGACTATATGGGATAAGAACTATCATCATTTATAATACAAGTCTCGCAACAAGAGGTGATGGTGGGAGTCTGGTGATTGCAAGAAGACAAACACGAGACTCGATATTGACACGACGGACATGGATCTTGAAAACATCACCCGACAAGCGGTGATGGTGGGAATCTGGTGATTGCAAGAAGACAAACACGAGACTCGATATTGACACTACCGAACATGGATCTTTCACAACTCTTTATTAATAAGAACTCTAAATGCAAAACTTAATATTTCACAACCTTTTTCTCTCAATACAATAAAATATAGCCTTTGGAGAAGGGTCATCTTAGAACCACTCTTTTTCTTCCTCCGATGGAGAAACACTCAATCTTTGCTTTCAAGACTGGGAGAATGAACTGGCTGAGCAGGAGGAGCGAGATGAAGTCTTGAAGAAAATATTGGCTCGTCGTCTTCAAGAGAGCAGAGAACGAAAACGTAAAGGATCGATTCCCGGTCATGCGACGATCAATCGTGGAAGAGAAGAAGGTAACTCTCGACTTTGCCACGATTATTTTTCTGAGAAACCTACATATGAGGAAGCTCATTTTCGCAAAAGGTTTTGATGCCGACGAGATCTATTCCTTCGCATTATCAACGGAGTAAAAGAGCATGACAACTACTTTGTGCAGAAGAGAGATGATCTTGGTGTATTAGGATCATCGACTTTACAAAAAGTAGTAATAGCGCACCGCCTGTTGGCATACGAAACTTCGATAAAATAGTACTGACGAATATATTAGGATTAGTGAGTCAACTGTAATCCAATGCTTGAAGAGGTTTTGTTGGGCAATTATAGAGGCGTTCGGATATGAATATTTGAGGTATCCCACTGCGGGTGACATTGCACATTTGCTAAGGAAAGGTGAATAGCGCAGATTTTCGGGTGTTTTATAGATAATCTATTTCAACTTAAAAAAAATTTGATTTAACCCCTGTGAATTTTTCTCACTTAAACTTAACCTTTCAAAACTAATATCATTGAGTCATATTTATTATGTAACAAGTACTTGATTTGTAAAGACAAAAGTATCCATCAACTATAAAAGAATTACCTTGGTTTTTACCAGATGAATGAAAAAGAGGTGATATAGATGGAAAGAGAATTACAAATTGGCTGTGGTCCTTTTATTATCGGTTGAGGGTTTCTTTTTATCTAAAATTACTTTCTTCAAGAGGGTATTTTATCCAAATCACATATTGTAGTGACTATCTTAAGGAGGTTTGTTAATAGGAGTGTAAAAGATTAGGGGAGTTTTTACGAGACAGATTATAGTTGAGAGTTTTTTTTGAAATTGCACCAAAATTGAGAGAGATCATCTGTAATACCCCTCATAAGAAAGGGCTTTTGTCAAATTGAATCAGTTGGGTGAGTTTTTAAGACAATCCCCTTAGTTGAGAGGGTTTTTAAAAATTAACTCTTCTTTTAAATATGGCTTATTCATAATTTGTTCATCAGAATTTTAATAATTTAATATTAGTCTCAAATTATGAGCATTTTCAAAAATGTGAGGGCATAACATAGAATTTTTGGACACTTAAAATCAAGGAACTAATATCTAAATAACTTTTAGACATTTGCTCTTATAGTCATTGCATTAAATATCGATCGATGTATTGCCTTATCGGCCAATATATCGGCTTAAAGACTTTATCTTGATAATATTTTATGTTTTCTTTTGTTTGGTGATTTTTTTGATATATCGACCGCTATCGAAAATATACTGATATATTCCTTTGAAGATATCGAGAAAATTGTGTCACTTTTAGTTTGATTTTGGGCTCGGTTTTGGATTGTGTTTGGGAAACAAAATTGGAACCCACAAAACCCATAAAGGCTACAATTCTTCTCCCAAATTTCTCAACTTTCAGCTCTCCCAAACCTTAAGCATATATCTTAATGCAAATTCTTATGTTTAAAATTCATTAATATGTTAGATATGTTAGATTACATATTATAATATCATGTTATGTATGAATATTATCTCATATGACACCCAATATTATATACATCTCTCTCTTTTTGCAATCCGATATCATAGATTTTATTTGTTCAATATTTATTTGATATCCAACACCCTGTAGTAGTCATTCGAAAGCCTCTTCTAAAGTTTTCTAAGCGAAGTATATAATTTCAGGAAATAATTCAAAATCTTGAGACTCGTTCAAAATATGATGCTTTAATTTTTTCACATTTCCTCTACAATACAAATATAAGCTGCGCATCTTGCTTCATATTGTATGAGGAATATTATTTATCAATGAGATCATATACTATTGTTTGTGGATAACAAAGGTTTCAAATTTTTTATAGGCTTAACGAACTTAAATACCTTATAGTTTACCAAAATTATACTTATATGCCCCCACTTGTATCTTGCTACACTTTTTTTAATTTTAGATAATGTATCTTAGCGCACTTAAATATCTTAATATTTTCTAAAATTTATGTCTGTATCTTCTGTTCTGTACCTAAACATTAGGATGCTCTTTGTAATTCCCTACATGAGTGTCATTGTATAATTTTAGAACAATTTTATGTTTCCTACTATTTCCATAAATACTTTATTAACAGACAATTATCAATTAATATATTATTATATATTACTTATAATTAATATGATGTAGAGTTTTACAATAATGTTGGAAGTTTAAGGGATCAAATTATACAAACTTAAAGTGACATATAATATAATTAAACAATGATAATTAATTTAGTTTAGTTAGTATTGGAAGGTAATATAAAAAAAGAACAGGGGTAATATAGTCCTTGAAAAGTTTTTTTTCACAAAACTCCCTCTTTTCCTCTTTCCATAAATACGTTATTAACATGGAATTATCTATTAATATATTATTACACATTACTAATAATTAATATGGTGTAGAGTTTTACAATAATGTTGGAAGTTTTAGGGACCAAATTATACAAATTTAAAGTGACATATAATATAATTAATTAACAATGATAATTAATTTAGTCTAGTTAGTATTAGAAGGTAATATCAAAAAAGAATAGGGGTAATATAGTCATTGAAAAGTTTTTTTCACAACTCCCACTTTTAAAGGGAGTATGATATGATTAAATAGTTGAAAGTGACAAAGTTATAAATAATGAAAGTTTGAATAGTGATTTGGAGAGCCTCTCCAAATTCTAGCTTCACTCCAAATTTGGAGAGAACCATCTCCAAATTTGGAGAGTGATTGGAGATGATTCACTCTCCAAATTTGGAGCAATGGAGATTTTGCCAAGTGATTGAAGATGCTCTAAGCCTTTAGATTTTGCATTTATAAATGCATTCATGCATTTGCCGCATCTCTCTAACTTGGTACAATGTCTGTTTATGATCGCTGTACTCTGGGCTATGCTTAGTGTTATGTGAGTATAAATTTTAATTTTTCTTGGTGATTTCATTCAGGCAACTCCATCCACTAATGCTTTGTCAGAGGAGGATATACATGCTCTTACAAAGAGAACACAAGATGGTGGTACTGAGGTGGTGGAAGCAAAGGCTGGCAAGGGATCTGCAACTTTGTCTATGGCGTAAGTCTTGAAACTGCGTGAAGTTATGCTGGAGTACTGGTTTTAATATCATTTTGTTGTTTCTTGGATATAGATTTCTTTCTTAATCCAATCCTGAGGCATTTCATGTGAATGTGCATTTCTATTTGTATATACTTGAAGTAGCCCCCTACTCACGTACATGCATGTATATATTATCTATCTGCTCATATGTATTGACCTGTGACAGTGTTTCTATTATATATTCATACACATTCACATCTAAGGTTGTCTTGTGTCTACATCTGTGGCAATTTTCATACTAAAAGGAAATGCTGTTTTTGTCTCATGCTGTCATTTTCCATATTTGCTGCTTGTATGCATTTGCATTTAATCCATATTGTTCATTAGGGCTGAAGTTGTTGATGTTTCCAGTAATTGTTGCATGACTATTCACTATATTCATGGATGCTGCGGGGCCTTACATGCTGCTTAAGTTCTTTATACTTGTATGATAACTGTCCCGTTTTGCCCTAATAATATAGGAGGTCTACTTGCGCCTTTCTTATCAGAGAGCAAATAAAATTTGCTTGTGCTCAACAAGATACTGTCAATATATAACTTCTGATATAATTATTTTAGTTCTGTTTTATTCATTTAAAAGCTTAACATTCCATTTTATACCATACTCCAAAAGGAATCTTCACATTGTATCATGTAGGTGGTTAATTACTTCTAATTCATTTTTTTCCTGGAAAACCTACTATTTTCTAAACAAGACTAGTTCACGCCTGAATATCGCAAGCTACAAATGTATTAGTATTTCATTCATCCATTTGAAGTTGCTTTTTGGAAAGTGGTTCTTCAAGTGCATTATGCTTGATGAACTATGCTTTTCACCTTTATCTTAGTACTAAATGTCTTGCTAGTAACTCTTTGTCATTGGAGCAAGAATGATTTGAATAAGCACAAAAAACTAAAAGCCTGTAGCTGTGTGCATTAATATTTTCACTCTGTATCACCCTGTTGTCTTCCTCCTCTTTTGTTATAAGAAGTTGTTCACACATGAAGAGAATATCTGGGAATATACTTTTTCATTACCACTGAACAAGATTCTATCTATATTCCCAGTTTTATACTTAGATGGAAAATTCAATCACAAGAAATATCCGTACAACTTTATCAGGAGCTTGTATTAGCTTATATTGATAGTATTAGTCTATTAGCCATGCTGGTTTGCTTCAGTTCTCTGATATACTATCAACCAAAACACAGAATGAGATTCTTTCTTTGTTTCCTTATTTTATATTTGAGAGATTTAAGTGAAGAAAGACTGTACAGAACCTCACGACAACTTCAGTCTGCTTATGTTGATTGTATGGTTTAGTACTTCTGTCAATTAGCAATCCTTTGATTTGTGTTAGGATGTTTCATTATAATTAGCGGTTTTCCATCTTTGTCATCTTGGTCTCTTATCATCAACCAGCTCCATTACTATGACTATATGAGTTGCTTGCACCTCAACCTTTCATCTTGGACTGGAAGTGGTTACCTTCCTGTACATCTAACTACTAAAAAACTTCGGATTGCATTTGTTGGCTGAACCTTGATGCTAACCCTTAGGTTCACGAGTTGGGATCTAATTTCTGGCTTAGGCATCTATAAGCCGAAAGAGCTCTGAATAAAGTCTAAATGACCATATTGCAAATGAGGAGATCTGGCCTCTTGATAATATAGTTTGTCCTGGATGAAGTAACAATCCTCCAAATTATGACAAGAACGCTCTTATCAGTTATCAACAAAACTTTGCAGGTCTGTGCAAACAGGCTGGACCATGTGGCTAGTTAGCAGGATATGGTTTTTGAACTGATGGAAAGTGTAGTCTGAACGCGAAAGTGTTACACTAGCGTACCAGACAACTTAGGGTTCAACGTTTGATATTTTCTTACTGTATCTTTCAAACTTCAATACTGCGGGCATTCCCCTTGTGTCAGCTTTTATTGCAAGGTTTATCTTTCTTCTTATGGACTTAAATGTCCTTGAACCTGCCATGCTGTCCAAAAAATATATTCATATGTTTGGTTGCTAGTAAGAGGTTTATTGGAGCAGTTGAGCCAAGAAAGGCAAGAAAAGCTATTTCTGCCTGTGATACTGTCAGTTTTTTTTCATAGTATATGTATACTTCTCAATTATAACATCAGTTTACTTATGATAGTTATTGTGTTTTTACGTGTTCACTAGATTTTTAAGATATTACGTTTGTCTAATTATCAGATTATGGTTTGAACATTGTATTCTAGCTTCACTTTGTGACTTTTTAAATTCTGGATTTATTTTGTTAGAAACTTTCTTCTTTGGGAAATAAGCAAAAAATAATGGAAATTTCATATTGATATTATCTGATGGTTAAACATTTCCATATTTTTTTGTCATCGGAGCCTTCTCATGTTGCATGACATTATCGTCTGTTTATGGATACATAGACATAAACTGCAAGCCTGCAATGATTGTAGTTATCAGACTTAAGTTTTACTGTTTTGTATTGCTTCCTGCAGCTATGCCGGAGCTGTCTTTGCTGATGCATGCTTAAAGGGTCTTAATGGGGTTCCAGACATTGTGGAATGTTCCTTTGTGCAATCGACAGTTACTGAGCTACCTTTCTTTGCCTCAAAGGTAATGATTTGGAAAAGAAATTTCTTGAATCACTTTAATATTTTATTGTTTCATGTATCTATATATTTCAAACCAACTTTTTCCCCTCAAGTATTTCTGTGACAGTGCGTAACTTGAAGAAAATAAACAATAAACAAGTTCATGCACTGTAGTTCATATTTATGGAATACCTTCATTTTCCAAGACATGTAGACGGGAAGCGTCTAGAGTCTTAACTAAGAAGACTACAGCTGAAGTAAAGTTCGAATTATCTCTATTTTCTCATCTAGTTTCCACGATTTTATTTTTTTACCGGTAATCTTGTATGTACCGTCTCTCAGGAAACATACACTCACACAAACTACCTGTTATTGTTTTTATTTAATTTTCAATGTACGTGTCAGATCTTTCGCTGTTTTACTAATCCTTGTGCAACTTATATTTTACAGGTGAGGCTGGGGAAAAATGGAGTTGAGGAGGTACTCGGGTTGGGCCCCCTGTCAGACTTTGAGAAGCAGGGTTTGGAAAACCTCAAGGCTGAGCTCAAATCCTCTATCGAGAAGGGCATCAAGTTTGCCAAGGAGAACTGATCAAATTAGCTAAACCAATTAGGTTCCTTGAAAATCTTAGTTTTGCATTTGTATGTTTTGAGGGGTGATTCACCCATCACTTGTCTGTTAAAATTACAGAGATTTTTGCAGTCCGGCTGTTTGGTTCCAGAACTGTATCAATAAAATGTATGCAATTTGTTTAAGAGGAACACTAGAACGTTTACTGGGTGCATCAGTAGGTAATGCGACTAGACTTTCCGATTTGATTTTATCTGTATCTCTCTCCCTGCCTAAATACATTCCAATTCTCAATATCATGGCCTTAGTTCTCATTCCACCCCTAACACTAGTCCTGATTGTATCGACATTCTCTGTTACTGCCGCTGGATGCTACACCTCCATCTTTAGCTTCGGTGATTCCATCACCTGCACTGGAAACTACAGAGCAAGCCCTGTGACATAGTCAAATCTACCTTATGGCAAAACATTCTTTCTTTGCCCCTCTGGTCACTTCTGCAATGGGCGGATCATTGTCGATTTCGTCAGCAGTTTCCAATGTCTGTGTCTAGTTTTCTTCGAACGCTGTGATCCTGGATAAAATTGGGGTGTATATCTCAAAACCTCTCTAATTTTTATTTCCCATGCAGAAAATCTCAAAATGTTACCCACAAATCCTCAAAACTCCAAAAGTGCCTCAAATGAAGGGTCTCTTGCGATCGGAGGACTTTATTACCTTCTCAGTTTTGTTTTCTCCACTTCTTGTTTTTTTTTATTTTTGTCATATTATGGAAAACGTTTTGGGTTTTCAATGGAAAAATCAAAGTTCATAGTAGAAGAAGCTTCCAAATTTGGAGTGTTGTGTGAAGTTCATCCTTGAAAGAACTTACTGCTGAAAGCTAGATATGAAGAATGAACAGAAGTCCAAATCTCTGCAAACGCGATATTGAGACTCTTAATAATAAGTAAACCTAGAACATAGATCCTTATTAATTGAAGTTTCCGCCTTGAGAATTTTGATTGAGTTTGTGTATGAGCTTGCAGCGGAGGCACTGGGGTTGCCTTTTTCCGCCTCCGTTTCTTGGAGGGTCAAGCAGCGACATCAACAGTCATGGTTTCGAGTTTGGAGTGAATTTCACTGTTGGAGGGGCGACGACGCTTGATGTTGAATTCTTGAGAGAGAGAGAGAGAGAGATGATGTTAAACGGAGGAATTAATCGCTGGTTGTTCGAAGGGAATGATTCAAGTAATTGCTTCCACCTCTCTGCTCTTCTTCTTCTTCTAGCGCGTACTTTCTAGGTAGTGTTTGGTAAAATGAGTTTAACCAGATGGAAACAACAATTAGACCAAGAATATTTCTAGTTTTAACAAAATCTATAGATTCGTTCTCATCAGGCCACTTCTCGCCCAACAACCAGGCCAGTAGTAATTCAAATCCTTCAGTATAGAACTGACCTGGACTAGTTCCCAAGTTGTCAAACTGATTCTTAGTCATATTGCTAATTTTTTTCCCTACCTAATAGCTTCACTGCTGGAAACGGTAATTTTTTTGGTAGTTCTAGTGAAAATTCTCAGAATCTATCAATTGAAAATAATAATATATATCAATGGAACATTGGAAATTGAAATATATCGTGAAGCCTATAGCTACTATAATAATGGCATTTGAAAAAGTATGCAGAGCAATTTGTCCATAACATTAATAGTGGTGCACTATAGTATATCAACTATTGGATCGATACATAATCTGTGCATCGATCAAAGGCTTAATTATATTTGAGTTTCGATTAATATATCTTTAGTGCACCATTAACTCCATAGAATGTGTACTGCATAACTTTTAGCCACTATTTTGCTTGGATGTATGGTTTCATAACTAGACAGCGTGATGATGATTTATAGAGTATCATCCCCATTTTCAACTGAAAGAGAGTAAACAAGGATTGTTTTTTCAAGGAAAGAATCAGCAGGAGTTAGCTAATCATACGCCTGTGTTTGAAGAGGCCTCTATTTAGAAACTTTTAACTGTGTTGTTTTTGATGACTTTTGACTTTTATGATGAAATTTTTTATAAAAAAATATGCAGGTTGAAGAGTCATATGTTTGGTTCCACCTATATATCCTGTTTAGTGAGCTTATAAGCTAGTTTTTGATGAGTTGTAGAATCCCAACTTTAGAATAAGATTTGAAACTCAATTATTTGAGATGTTACGTAGATATAACAAATCTACTTTTTCCCATAAATATGCCAAGTCCGTGTGCGTTGCTTAAATGTTTATACCCAATACGACACAGCTTTCATCCCTCTATTTGGGGTCCATATCTACTAAAAAAGAGAGTAAATAATGATAATGCCATTTGAGCCCCGGGCCCTCGAGTCAGATACACACGAAAATGTTATTGTGCGAAATTAAAGTCTGCCTTTCTCTAACCTCCTCATGTCCTCTCCATATTTGTAAGGGACACAGTTGCAACTGAGTGGATATATGCTCAGAAAACAAGATTAAAAAAAAAAGAAAAAAAGGGAAATTTTGCGAACGTATGATAGTCCAATTGTTAGATATTTTGTTAAGAAAAGACAATTTTGCCTTTATGAATAGTAATAAAATTTTATAATTAAAACATGTTTTAATTAGCAATTAAAAATATGTGTAACGACTATATAATTATGGGGAACGTTACAAAATTTATGACGAACGTTACAGAATTAATTACGGGTTTTGTAACGTCTTTTCCAACCCTATATATATATCCGTATGTTGAGCTCAAAATGATAAGAAAAAAATACACAACAAGTTTTCTCTTGTTTTTCTTCTCTCCCATACATATTATTTTCATCTACATCTTAGTTTTATTTTATGGGCAACTTCCTTCATCTGAGCTGAAGCTCTGCACTCTCGCCCGAGTGCAGAGGCCGGCTGTTTCCGGGGGCTTTTACCGCTAGGGGGAAGGAACCATCTGCGCCAGGGCGATAGGCGGGTTCTCAATCTTCTAGGGCAGTGATTACACGACTGCTCCCGTCAGGCCTGAATTTCATACCTCTTGTTTATTTTAATTTCGGATTTATTTCATGCTATAATCTTAATTATTTGATAAATTTCAAACACCAATAATGTGGGGATAAAAAAAATTCCAAAAATGTTAAAAAGCAACGAGTTTACTGTACTTGATTAATCTTTGTTTTCTTGTTATATCTACTCATGATTTTTGTTAGAACAAGTGCACAATAAAGCGGAAATAATTACGAAGAACAAGTACTAGAATAAACGATAAGAAACTACAAATACAGAGATTTATGCGATTCATCTAATTTGAGCCACGTTCATATATAGCAGAGGCACGGGAGAAATTCCACTATCAAAAGAAAAAGAAGTATAAGAACAAAACAAATAGCCTAAACCCTCAAACTCTCCTTTTCAAACCCTCCTATTCTACTAACTTTTTTTCCCTAACCTAAGCTCTCTCTGTTTTTTATATAAAAGACCACAATAGATCAAGAAAGGTGTGTCCAAAACTTGATAGAAGTTGGAGATCAAAAGAAAAACGAACTCGTCTGAGATTAAATTATCAAAACTGCAAATCAGCGCCGTTACCCTTGATGGCAAAACACGACCATCGATGGTCTTCTGCAGTCCATCGATGGTTCACTATAGTTCATCGATGGTTCTAAATTCCGTTTTTGTTTTTCTCCGATTGTTCACTATTAACCATCGATTATCGAAGTGACCATCGATGGTGTCCTCATGACCATCGACGACCTATTGGCTGAAATCAACAATATTCAAAGGGTTTTGAGACATAATTTTAACAATTTTTCTAAATATAATGGAAAAGAGCAACTATGAAATTATTTTTATCTTTTTCCTGAAGATGAAGCTATTCTTATATTTTAAGAGGGGACTGATCAGATTCGACGGCTTCATCCTTGTGCAACCATCATCTACGTATGCTGACGACTACAGTTGCCGCTATGAGCATGTTCCGATCTCCCAGCCCTCTCGGTGAGCTAGTTTCAGGATGCTTTGTTTTTCGAATATGGGTCCCGTAAATCTTTAACATCTTGACGTTAATTAGTGCCTCAAAAAATTGATATTGCTGTTTGGCCCCTCAAATCCTGCGAGGTACTTTAAATTAGTTTTGACTTTTGAGTGTTTACCTACCGTTTGCTTTGGCACGTTCACAAGCTGGCTTCCGCGCACACGAAAAGATTGGCAGAGACTTTCCATTCACCTAACTTTTTTTTCTCTCCCACCCCATATATAGATTTCAGGTTAACACCCCTCTGTTTAAATTACTCCAACACAAATTAACCTGTTTAAAACTACAAAACCCATTTACTAATGTCTTTTCTTCCCTGTCTTAATTTCCTCTAATAACACAATTTTGCAGTTCCGGAGAGGAGAGGAAGTTCTAACATTTTGGTGAGGTATGATTGATGTAATTCACCGTACGTGATTGACAACCAACCCAGCTCGAGATAAGCAACTAAGACGCAACAACCAACAAGGAGACTTAATTTGAAATGACCGACGTGATTTGAGGGACTAAATAACAGTTTCAATTACCGCAGGGACTACTTTTAAAATATTAAAAACGTAAGGGACCACAACCAAAAAAAGCCCTATTTTCTTTTTTCAACGTTCGGGTATTTTGAAGGATTTCAAGGTACTGTAGGATTCGGACACGCTAGCTCCTTTGGCTGCGTGTTGTATGTTGTGGTAATTAAGTGGTGGTCGTTATAACTACGATTCCTCTGCAACGTGCGGTTCTGATGAGAGGCCAAAAGCGCGTCATGATCCATCGAGATAATGTTAGTGGGGATGGACTGCACCTCACTAAGAGGCTGTTTAGATCGGTTTTTTGGATAGGTAAAATAGAGGAAAGCTGTCAAAAATGTCAGCTTTTTGGCAACTTTCCCCCAAAATCATCTTTTATAGAGGCGATTTTGGGGGAAAGCTGCCAAGAAGCTGACATTTTGGTAGCTTTCCCCCTCCTTTCCCCTTCTCAAAACCGGAACCAACCAGCCCCTAAAGCGGTCTCTGCAACATAGCCATGATATAATATTGTGATTTGAGTTCTGCTGTGAATAAATTTGTCGGGCATCTTGCCCATGTTACTTAACAAAAAACATTGAACTTGGATCGGTGTTTCTGATTAAAAAAAAAAAAAACATTTAACTTGGATCACCAAGATTGTGCCTCATCAAGTTTACGGAGAATGGATACATGGCGGCGTACATAGAAGGCTAAATAGCAGTTAAGTACCTCATGGTTT